TATATATCTCCTCTCCTCCTCTCCTCTGTGATTGGCTGTCATCTCTCCAGGTAGCCATTGACTTCACGGCCTCTAACGGAGACCCTCGTAACAGCTGTTCTCTTCACTACATCCACCCGTACCAGCCCAACGAGTACCTGAAGGCTCTGGTTGCCGTGGGTGAGATCTGCCAGGACTACGACAGGTGGGTGCTTCAATGCATCTGGATCACGTGGTTCTGAACTGAGACTCTGTAGACTCCTAAACACTGAGTTAGAACAAGTTCACTTTCTGTTGCTGCAGCGCCACCTGTCGGCCGCTTCAACACCTTTCCACCGACATGGAACAGGTTTTGCTCCAGTTTGCGCTGAATGTTGCTCCGTTGATGTCAAACACAGACTGTAATTAAAGACGGACGACACGTCTCCGCTTTGTCTCTTTGCACAAAAATGAAGCTAAAATAGCTTAGATACAAATGCTGCCACCTTGTGGTGATGATGTCATTACAGTCAGAGTCTGAGCAGTGATCGAGAAGTGGCGCCGTGGTATCAAGGTCCCGCCCATACACGCTCTCAACCAATCACTAGTCAGTCTCAGCTGTCAATCATCAGCCTGTTTTTATATCATCAAACTACAAATTCTAACCAAACTCATCAGAAACATCTTTGACAAACATTTATTTAATGTCTACTCTGAATGTTAGAGTTTGGTCCATGTCCCTTCTGCTACCATGGAGGAGGAGGGTTTATGACCTATACTGCAGCCACACACCAGGGGGCGATGGACATGATTTGGCTTCACATCTTTATTTACAGTCTGTGGTTGAGAAAAGAATAAACCGGTTCTCAACTGGAATCTAAAAGTGGGCGTGTCATATTGTAACGTTTGTTTGTTACCATGGTTACCTGATAAAACATCAATCATCGGGTGAATCCGTTCTTTACCAACTCGTCGCTCTGACGTGTCTTCACTGTGTGATTGGAGCAGGAAGTAGTAATCCCACCTCAGGGTCGCTGACTCTTCCAATCACCAGTCATTCCTCTGCTTTGTGTCGAAGTGGCGGTGGAATGAATGAGCTCGTTAACTCCTGCTGAGCCAATCACAAACCTCCTTCCATTTTTAACCTCAGACTTATTCGTTTTTTTTTCCAGTGACAAAATGTTCCCGGCGTTTGGCTTCGGCGCTCAGATCCCTCCTGACTTCAAGGTAATTTAACTGCTCCGCTTGCCATCTCTCCCAGCATGCTCTCTGTCAGGAGAGAGGTGAGGCGGTCCTGGTCAGACGCCGTTGATTATCTTCGCTGCAGGGTGGGAAAATCTACAAATACAGTTTCTGTTAGAGTAAGAAAAGTAAAGTGAGACAAAAACTAAAAAAGAGTCATTGATTCATCAGCTGAAGGATCGACTGGTAGAAACTGAATATGAAATAATCCTGACATGGTTTCACTAATGTTGTTTTCTTTACCCTCGAATGGGCCCTTCTATTTAAATTACTTTATATTGGGAGCA